CGATCGGGTCACCCTATTTTTGCATGGCAGTTTCAAAAAAAAATGTTTTTTCTCCAAAGTTCATTGAACCCAACCCTATAAACAATCGCACTCATTTTAGAGTCAGAAAATTCTCAAAACTCTGAGTTGTAACCCTTATTTATGAGCTCAAAAAAGTTTCAGATTCTTAGAAGGAAACGTCAATACAAGTCCAAGTCTGTAGAGTCTGAAATATGACGCTTTCTGAGTATTAAAAACAAATATTCTTTATAATTCTGATTATTAAAAAGCTTTTACTTCTACGTGAATTTTGTTACTTTGGTTCAACTCAGAATTTATGACACCAAAAGAGTCCGAAATTAGTTAGGCTTATTGACTGGCCTCAGAAACATAATATGGCGAAGGAAATACTCATTTTAGACTCATAAATTCTGATCACTCAGAAAATTGTTTAAAGGGCAGTACCCTAACGTACCACCCTAATATGAGTAAATTATTATTATTTTGATTATTCCAGTAGATATATTTAAATTTTCTTTGCCAAATCTAGATACATACCAATGTAGGTGTCTACGAAAAATTTAAGAAAGCGAAACCTATAATTGGCCAAGAAAAAATTCCAAATTTTTTTGTTTAAAGTTCATTAATTTATTAGGAAAGAATAGCTCAGTATAAAATAAAAACCATATAAGTCCAAATTTCGAACTTTGTATTACGATTAAAAAAATTCAACAAATTATTCTCAGCAACATTTCAGATTTTTTTTTTCTGAATTTTTGGAATAATTATTATAATAAAGCGGGCGCAAGTTTTAAGTTGCTGCAAAATCCAGCTGCACTTTGATAATATTTTTGGTAATGCATTTTTTAATAAGAGTTGAGCCACTTTTTAATTTTTTTAATACATACATTTTCTTATTTTTTACATACATTTTTGTTTTCATTTTTTCTTTTCCTTTTGGTTTTAATTTTTCATTTTCATTTTGTTTTTGTTTTAAGTTTTCTTTTCCTTTTTGTTTTCCCTTTTGTTTTTGTTTATCTTTTTCTGTTTGTATTTCTTTTTCTTTTTGTTTATCTTTTTCTTTTTTACTTTTGTTTTTCCTTTTTGTATTATTTTTGTTTGCATTTGCTAAATACACTAATTAGGCGTACAGCATTGAGCGCACAATAAACAAAGTGTCATCACCGCCAGTCGATTGCAGTCGGTTACGTTTACGCCCACGTGCGCGAGATAGAATTCAAAAAAGCTAAAGGCGCTTTCAATGCGAGCAAACCATTTTTGGTTTTTCCCTTTTTTTAAATATGTATGTAAATATGTTCACACCTTTTATGTACATATTCAAACAAACTTTCAGCGGCATTGGCTTCAATGATATGATATTTCTTTATGCGAATATGCGATATAATCAACGATATCTACTACAAACATTCCTATGTGCGTTAAATTTAGCGAGTTTTAATGAAAACCCCTTTTTAATATAAATGTATGTATGACATGCAATTCATCTCTTACAAACAATGGGTAAAATAGCAATAGAAATTTCTTACTGCGTGTGAATTTCTGAGACATTTTAAAATTACAAACAATAGAACATGAAAATTAGTTAAAAATTGGAATGTTGGTTGCATGTGACTTAGCTGCCAGCTGGTTTGTTAGAAAGCAGTCTGTTAGTGAATATTGATTAACTCACTTAGTAATAGACAATTTATTTTATAATAGATAATTAAGATTTTCAAGTGCAGTTATAAAACAGCATTTTTTCCAAATTCCATATTATTTTTAAATTTCAATTCGATGCTAATTATGAAATGTGCTAATCTTCGGAGCTAATAGGGAATCGTGTCACTTTTCGTAAGGCATTGCTAAAAAAAGTATGGCTAATGCGAATACCAGGTAAGACTTTTTAAAGAACAAAAAGTTATAGTTGAAAATCGGCATAGCTTATGGTTAAAACATAGATTTACAGGGACGCAAACGAGTGTTCACATGGTGATAAAAATGTTTGCCGTGCCGGTGCGAGTTTCAAAATGCATACATATGTACTATGTGAAAGATAAAGCGCAACACCATCAACGAAAAGAAATTCTCAAAATCTAACCTTAATTTTGAGCCACTTCAAACATGCACTTTTGTTACACTAAAATTTAATCGGCTATAAAACTGGTTACCTGAAAGTTTTATAAAATTTCTGATAAAAAATCATTAAATTTGTTTCAATATTTGTTGAATTTCTTAGAAAGTTTAAAATTTTGATTTGTTGGGTTGTATTATAGAATTAACTACATTTAAAAAAAAAATTATAAAAAATGGTCAAAACTTATCAATACGTCGCAATGGTATTTTCGTGAGCACTTCTGTATTTGGGTAAGTACATGAATACATATGAATACTCAAACTAAGTAAGTATATATTATAATGCTTCATTCAAAGCCACAAGCATCTGGCGTAAACGAACTCCCCATTGCAAAAACAAAAAAAAACAAACAATATTTTTGAGAAGTTGCCATAAATGACGCGTATAAGTATTTATATATATATTGACAACTTCGTTTAAATTTTCAGATTCACAACTATTTATCTTATCTGAATTACATTGTTTTGTTTAGATGTTTACTTCATTACAATAAATACGTCCAAAAACGGTGTCAACCCACAACTCTAAAGATTATTTACGAACACAAACCCAAACAATGATGCAAATACAAACCCACATACACATGTACTACACATTTATGTACATATTCACACAAATCCTAAAATTTCGTATGATAAATGAAGTCTATCAATTGACAACACCTAAAAGCACGCACACATACATACATATTTATTTATACCTATACGTTAGATAAAAATAAGTGATTTGAAAATTGCTTTAATCAAGTAAATGAAAAGTTTTATTCAAAAAAATACCATCCCAGCTTTCCATTAAAAAAAAACAAGTAAGAAAGTCTAAGTTCGGGCGGAGCCGAACATTAAATACCCGGCGCAAGTATTAAATATATGTTTTTTCACCTTTCCGAAACCTTCCGCTAGATGGTAAGCCGGGGTGTATCAATTTTGAGTAAATTAGCGTCCTTCAATTTCGAAATATTGAAGTTTCAAGCATTNATTTCCTTTTAAATTCAGGTGAGCAACGAAATCATCAGCAACAATGTTGCTCAACACTCAAAGCAACATCTCTTTGCTCACTCAATACGAGACAGAGTGGGTAGGTAAGCACAAAATATCGGCCGTATCAATCAGCAAAAAGTCGCATTAAATATGTTACAAAGCTAAAAGCTCTACTTAAATGTTGTAACACAAACCAAAATAGTTTAAACAAATAATTTATGCTTAGCCAAACTGACTAGGCCGCTCAAATTTAAGTGGGTCGTAGTTAGATTTTTAAGTATTTAACTAAAAAAGGCTTTGCAACCAATCGTATGGCAGTACAACTTTTTTCAGACTTTATTTGATTTTCCTTACTATTTTCATTATGGTAAGTATCAATGTTTTGTTGTCACAACAGATATTTTGTTGTTGTAATGTAATGTAATGACCGCCAAAGCCACTTGTGTAGCTGGAAACACCTTAAAAAGCAGCAGTTATTCTTCAAGTTTGGTACAACGAGCAATTAATGGCGGCCACCAGCCATACATAGTTTATGGTTACAGTTGGCAAACATAAAAATATTACCTACTGTTTTCGATATACATACATACATATGTATGAGCGTGTGTGTCTTTGTTATGGCACACTATATTTTTAAAATCATTTTGATTGGATCGCTTTCTTTTGTTTGGCGATTGTTCAAATGAAAAATGAAAGCACTTTGAAATCAACTATCATAAGCAAATGAACGACGTTGCTCGGGTGAAAAAATGCTGCACACTCATCGTCGCATTTAAACGAATTTGGTTATAGCAAAAGATTATTATCGATAACGATATAAAATAATGTTTTCATATCGAAAACCAATTCTTATTATCGATTTCGATAGCAAATACGAACAGGTAATGGAAACGACAAAAATTATAATATAGTTGTCTATAATCTGGTTAATATCGATAGCTTACCGATAACAAAATCGATAAATTTGTCGGTAGCGATATCTGTACATTTTCGATGACAGTTTCCATGTGATGTGGGTTTGAAATATTAGAAAAATTGAATATGAGTGCCATATTCAGACGAAATTTTAAATCTTTTAAGAGGTGTTGAATGATTGAGAAATACTTTCATGGCTGTTATATTAATAAACACTTGCCAAATCTGGATTAATGAGCAGCCAGAAGTGACCACTGAAAGACATTGCAGCCTCAAAAAGTGGCTCTTTAATGTGCATCGTGGGTCATCAGCGCCTTCGGTCCGTACTTTCTTCGAGAAAGACAATGAGCCACCATAATCGTCTATTCTCAATGCTATGCCGACATTTTTTCGGGAAGAATTTAAAGATTTTGATCTGAACGAAATATAATTTCAACAAGACGGGGCCGGTTATGACTCTACTGGGCGAAAAATTTCCAGTACGCATATATTCGAGATTCAGGTTTTGAACGTTTACATAGGGCAAACTTTATGAAATAAAAATTTTATCAAAGTTGTAAGTAAATATTCAGCACGTGTTTGTAGGTTTAGCTTCCCAAGGAGAACATGGATAACCCTATACTCCTACAGTTATTTCAAAATTCTTTTCTAATGAAAACAATTCATCGCTTATCTAAATTTTGGTCTCTAAAGACCTTTAAGAACAGGTGTGCCTAAAAATATGCTACATTTCCCAAGTGGCATTGACTGACCCTCATCTAGCCGATTTCATAGTTTAACTTAGGGTTTTTTATTATGAATATAATTGGGCAAGCCTGTTTTAGGGCTGTTGCCGCCTAAAAATTAGCAAGGCGATTTCTAGCGGAGAAAGCTTATAAGACAAATAGCCATTCGAATGAAACATTTTTTATGTTAGGCCCTACTTACTAGATACTTTTTACTTAGCATGTTAGTAACATTGATGCCTACATATGTATGTAATAACCACTCACCTGGGAAAATCTTTACTCGCTGTCGTTGCGCCACTCTCATCTTCGGCTAGCTGCTGCTTTTTCGTCCTACTCTTCGGCATTGTGGCCGAGCACACAGTGCGACGTACCGTTTCCACTTTACCAAAATCATCCACACCCAATTCCACAGCGTGCGCTGTCACTTGCTGATCATCATCATCATCATCATCATGTGTTGGCGTGTAACCAGGCACCGGTGATGGCACCACATCCTCGCGTAATTCATGCGCCTCCTCGGGCACAAGATACTCAGCCGCTTCATCGACACCGGCTTCGGCTGCGGGCGCAGCATGCTCATCTTCTGCATAATCAGAGAAGTCATCCACATCGTCCACCGAACGTTCCTCATCGATGGAGGTGTGAAAAGAGCTAGCCGTCGAATGACGACCACCTGCCGAGCTATCCGCATCAGGTGTGGAGCGACGCATCGCTGGCGGAAAGACACGCCACAAGCCAGGCGAGGCCGTCACATCAGCTGCGGTTGACGCCGCGGCATCTGTATGTGTGTTGTACTGCTGTTGTTTACGTAGCTGATGACGACCCGTTTTGAACAAAATACGCTGCTCTGCTGTTAACGTCTCAAAGCGATGAACTTTTTGTCGTACACCCAACAAGGCAGGGTCTGTTGGCGTAGGTGGTTGCTCAGCTTCTGCAGCAGCGCCATCATCTTGATTCGGCGCCGTCGCCGGCACCTCTTCATCGTTATTGTGTGGTGGCCCAGTTATGGGCAATGGTGGTGGTACCATTCTACGCGTGGATGCGCGATAAAAAGCACTTTCCGTGTCCGAATGTACCGAATATGAATACTGTAATTGGCTACTGGCAACGCTAAGCGAATGCGAACCACTACTGCCACTGCTACTCGGCGTACTGTGATTGTGACTTGCGCTGGAATTGTGCTCGTGCGCTGAGCTCACTGAGCTGGAAGTGTGAGTGCTCTCAGCCGCACTTAGATTAAATGACTCCACTGAGCTGTGGCTCTCAGTACTAACGCGTCGCGAGGAGCGGCGCTTGGCGAAATTTCGATTACTTAGATTACGTTCGCGGCGAAAGGGACGCGGACTGTCGGTGGTGCTCTCGTCGGCCATGTGGTATCGATTGTAATAGTATTTGGGGGGATGGGGAGCACACTGTAGTGGGTAAACGGAAGTGAGCGCGCTTATCTGAGCCGTGTTGCAGAAACACCCACACACAAATTTAAATAAAACACTGTTGAAATCTTTTCTCACTTTATGTTCGTCGACTTGAATTTCGATCGCGCTGACTTTAGCGCTCTTTTGTATTTTAAAATCAATAAATTTTACTTTACTTGCAACACTGTTTGAAATGCGCTCTAATACCCTCTCGCATATTTATTTAGATTCTGTTCTTAGTTTTTATTCATCAGCCATTTGTTTATGTTTCTCTTTGCTTATTGTTTTGCTAAAAATAGAATTATTATTTCAGATTTGTCAAGCACTTGTTTTATGTATTGTTGTTTGAGTCTTGGCACCTGTCAATTTTGTTAATTCTACACACTTATCACACATTTGCCGACGGGGTGGCACTTAGTAATTGTTTTTGTTTTCACACTTTCAGATTTTCGCTAAATTTCAGTCATGGTCATGCAATGCATATGTATGTATATATATGTATAAAACTGTTTTTTTTTTTGTTTTCTATTTTTCACATTTTAATTAATGGCACGATCTAATTTTCAATTAATTTTTGTAGTAGCTCACATAAACTACTATATCCATGGTTCATAGCTCAGTATGGTAAATTTTTATTGTTATTTGTCTCAAAACTAAAAAAAAAATCGGGTTGGTTCCTTTATAAAATACAGCAATTATTTTAGCTTCAGGAGTTAGAGAGTTATAAATCCCTAAAAAGAATTAGTAGAACTTATTTTTTAAGTTTTTTAATCCTTTTAAACTATTTGTTTATTTTATATTTCTTTCTTATTTTTTTAATTTTTGGTTTTTTTATTATTTTCGTAAACTTTTTATTTTTGTTTTTAGTTTTCGTTAATACACATTTTTATTAGTCACTTCCACTACGAGGTAAAGAGGTAAGTTTTTAAGTGCATCAAAAATTACAACTTCACAATCGGGAATTTTTAAGTTCAGATTTCTTATCTTAATTTTGTGCTGTATTATTTTTAACAAAAATTTTAATTTTGCATATCCTTATAATAATTTTAATATGATTGTAACTTTTTTGTTTTAATTAATTGTCTTTTTTCCTTTTTTGTACTATCTTATTTTGTTTTATCTTACTTTATGTACATAACTTTACTATGTTTTTGCTTTACTTTATTTTTTACTGCATGTTTTTATTTTTATTTTTTATTGTGTTCTATCGTTTTTTCTTTTGTTATTATTACTTTCTTTTGTTTTATTTTATTCTTAAAATATTTTTTATATTTCATTATTTATTTATTTTTTACATTTTACGTTACTTAATTTTTATTTATTTTATTTAGTATTATTCTACATTAATTTTTGGGCTCTATTTTTTATATTTGTTTCTATTTTAATTAAATCTATTTTATTTAATTTTATACTAATATATTTTAGATGTTTTATTTGGTTTTGTATTAGTTTGTCGTTTTTCTTTATATTTTTATACTGTGTTTTAATTTACCTTAAATAATTTTTGTATTTTCTTACAATTTTCATATTTTTCCTCATTTGTATATTATTTTTCCTTCTTATAATTTGTTCTTCTATCCTAAGTCAATGTTTTTGATAGAATTTTTTGTACATACTTAATTTTTTCTCGATACAGTAATTTTTAACGCCATCTTTTTATTTATTTTTTTTATGTTATTTTGCTTATTTTATTTAATTTAATATAATTGTATTTTTTTTTTTAATATCATAATTTAATATAGATTTATTGCTTTATTTTATTTTGTTTCATTTTATAGTATCCCAAAATATATTATTTATTTTAGTTTGATTTACTAACTTTTTTATTATATATTATTGTATTTTATTTAATTTTTTTTTTTTTATTCCATTCGATATGTAGTATCTGTAGTAATAGGAAACCTTTCGCTTTTTTTCTGTTTTCTGTTCTTCATTGAAACGAATACATAATCACAGCAACACTCTTTTATTGTAGCATATTAAACCAGAAAAATTTTGTCTGGTCAATTAAAACAATTTATTTTTTTTTTTTTATTCCATTCGATATGTAGTATCTGTAGTAATAGGAAACCTTCCGCTTTTTTCCTGTTTTCTGTTCTTCATTGAAACGAATACATAATCACAGCAACACTCTTTTATTGTAGCATATTAAACCAGAAAAATTTTGTCTGGTCAATTAAAACAATTTTTTTTTTTTTTTTTTTTTGTTTCCAAACGAGCAACGGACATGCGACTAAGTAGCGAACTAACTAATGAACTCCGAGTATACATCACAACTTATTTAGTACAGCAGAACGACATAAAGTCGGTACAGGTATGTTTGTATGTATGTATGTATGTATGTAATTTTGNTTGTTTCCAAACGAGCAACGGACGTGCGACTAAGTAGCGAACTAACTAATGAACTCCGAGTATACATCACAACTTATTTAGTACAGCAGAACGACACAAAGTCGGTACAGGTATGTTTGTATGTATGTATGTATGTATGTAATTTTGCAGCTTACTTAAGTACTTATACTTAAATTCATATTTCACACTTAGTCCGAGTATGTCGCTAGACATAGTCAAGTCAACCAAACAACTGTGCAAATTGGTAAGATCGTCGAACATGCATACGTATATGTATACGTAAGTACATAAATATATGTATATGGATTCAAGTCGCTCAAAAAGGAAAAACCAAAAACAAAGCGAAACAATATTAATTATTTTGCGCGGGACGCGTTCCCACACAAATAACATAACAAAAATACTCAGAGCCATTAGCATGCCTATTGATAAATGTAGCTCTTTTATGAGAATATAAGTTCCAGTTTACCAGTTAAGTGCTATTGCTATGCTCATTTTCTCATATACTCTAAATATTACTTAATTTTAAGAGATAATTTTCTCGGGACTTCTCTCTCTCTCATTTCTCGTCTTACTCTCTTTCTCATTTTATTTCCCAATAACATGTTTTTGCATAACCATATTAATTTTTATATTACATAAAAGCAATTTTCAACAATTTTTATCGCACTTCTCATTCATTATTCAGTTTTCTTTACGATATTTCTCTTATTGCCGGTTTTCTTTGTATTCACCTTGATGTTGTATTTTAGTTATAGCAGTAAACTTTTCATTTGTTTGTTGTAGATATGTAGCTTTAATAATTTCCTTTTTTTATCTATTTGCTTTATTGCTTTTGTATTCACCAATTTGCACATTTCATGCAAAAATCGACTGAACTTGTGAGCTGTTTACTTACTTGGCTTACAGTGACGTCAAACTGTATGAGTACACATCAGTTAAGCGCTTTTGGGTTAATTTTTAAGACAAAGATGAATACATATCGTTACAATCATACAGAAAGGCACTATCTAACTTTTTTTTCTTTGCAGATTAGTTATACAACTTTGTAAAAACAAAGTTCTTCTTTTGCGATTTCTTCATTACACTGTAATGAAGCTTTTGCTGAAGTAGTTTATTTCACATTTTGTTAAGACTTTAGTGAGTAGGTTACTGACTTTCGTACAGAACTAAATTTCGAACGAAAATGAGTTAGGGCCTTTCTAGGCCAGGCATGTACGTATGTATATGTTACTTTTTAATCTTATCAAGTTATACATATTATCAATTTCAAAGAATAGTCAGCACACGTCACCCAATAAGTTTTCATTCTAACATTAAAAAAGGCCACAAAATAGTTTTGCCCTTTGTAAATTGAATTTACATGATCGCTGAAAACTGAGGATTATACTGAGACCACAGATAAAACATCCTGCAAAAAAAACATATTTTGAAAAGATAAGAGAGCATTGTAATGTCGAATTTCTGGAAGCAAATGTGCTTATAATATTTAATTATTATTAAATGATCATTTAGTCGAAAACTTATGTATTGACTTTGTCATATTTAAATAGTTCTTCTAGGCCGGTAACCATACTCTATCTTCTAAATAAAAACGTGGCGTTTCCGCAAACTTCATTAATCATGCANCCGGTAACCATACTTTATCTTCTAAATAAAAACGTGGCGTTTCCGCAAACTTCATTAATCATGCAATGGCATCCAGATATCAGATACTAAAAATTGGATTCATAAAGCAGTAATTTTTTTGTATCTAAATATTATGATAATTTGCGGACAGGTACGACAATATATGTATGTGTACATAGATACAAATACATATTCTAAAAATAAAAGCATTAAAAAATTATTTGAAACAAAATTCCCCTCATGATGACTAAGTCGTATTATCTTTTATCTGTCTTTTCCATTAATTTTTAATTTCTATAGCTTTCTTCTTTTTTGATAAGCAAGTGATAAAAAATTGCGTGCAATAGATTATATAAAAAAAAAACAGAGTTCACCAAAAAACTAAGGCTTAGTCATCTCTGAGCAGTGTTGCCATTTTAGCTGTATAGCTTCTACTTTTTTCCTTTTTCTTGCAAATAATTAGCTTTTTATTTTTTTAGCGAAACCGGTGAAGTGCCAGTGGATTTTGCTTTCATGCAGGGCATGATCCATTAACCTTTAATTTTGGCTTCAAGATCACTGTAGTTGAGGAAGCAGTCGTCTGTATGTTAAATTGCTCGACGTTGGCAGGGGAATTTTCGCCAGCCAAACTCATTTGGGTAGGCTATCTTAAGGCCATACTTATATTGCAGAAAATCGCGTTGCGGATAAGTCGGCTAGGAAAGGTACCTTCGAGTTGATTTCACCGGGTAAAGACATCGTGGACAACATTTTTCACAGAAAAATTACAAAAAAATTAAACTTTAAAAACATTGCAAATATTAAAAGAAAAATGAACAAGTGATCAATTATTTGAGTCACTGTAAACATAAAATGTACTAAAAACGTTTATAAGTTGCGTGACCAGCATAAAAGACAACTCAAGTATGCAATTAACAAAATTGTACTCGAGAGCCATATAAATTGGTGAGATAATTAGGTGCCATTGTCGCATTATTACTAATCGATAAGATAAATAAAAGTACAAATTCAAACGGCAAGATAGTTAATTCTCAAATTATTTAAACTGTCAAAATAATTCATTCGTCTAAAAATTTTCAATAATAATTTAGGAAGTAAATTACTTTTAAATTTGTCACTTCCACAAAGCATTTGTGGAAGACCCACTTTTGGAAATACAACAGAGCAGTTTATACACGTTTGTTCATTGTTTAGTCATATACGCAACTTTTTCAAATTTTTTCTGGTTGCTTTCTCAGTTTAAAGATGGTTAATCCAGAAATAAAAAATAAAATGTTTACGTTTTAATATAGACATTAATATGGCTAGAACTTCGAATTGAAACGAGCCAAATGTAGAATATAGTAATTAAAAAAATATCAATAATTGTAATGCTAGGCTTTTTAAAAACAGTGTTAAAATTTTAAAATGGTTTCTCTGAGATCACAAAGACCCTTAAACACCTCGAGGTCGTTAACCTCAACGGTCATAAATTCGTCTCATATTCGAAATGCATAAACAATGGTAACGAGATGGACAATACTTAAAAAAATACCCGCTTGATGTCGCTGTCGTCAG